GAGAGACTGTCACCCCTCCGCTCCCACGGCACGCGTAGGCGGAGAGTATGTTGGTGTGTGTAGAGTATGTTGATGTGTGTAGAGTATGTTGGTGTGTGTAGAGTATGTTGGTGTGTGTAGAGTATGTTGGTGTGTGTAGAATATGTTGGTGTGTGTAGAGTATGTTGGTGTGTGTAGAGTATGTTGATGTGTGTAGAGTATGTTGGTGTGTGTAGAGTATGTTGGTGTGTGTAGAATATGTTGGTGTGTGTAGAGTATGTTGATGTGTGTAGAGTATGTTGGTGTGTGTAGAGTATGTTGGTGTGTGTAGAGTATGTTGGTGTGTGTAGAGTATGTTGGTGTGTGTAGAATATGTTGGTGTGTGTAGAGTATGTTGGTGTGTGTGTGTGTAGAGTATGGTGGTGTGTGTATAGAGTATGTTGATGTGTGTGTATAGAGTATGTTGATGTGTGTGTGTAGAGTATGTTGGTGTGTGTGTACTCACCTAGTTGTGTCTGCAGGATCGAGCATTGACTCTTGGATCCCGCCTAGTGTGTGTGTGTGTGTGTGTTTACTAGTTGTGTTTACTAGTTGTGTTTTTGCGGGGGTTGAGCTTTGCTCTTTCGGCCCGCCTCTCAACTGTCAATCAACTGTTTACTAACTACTTTTTTTTTTTCCCCACACCACACACACACACACACACACACACACACACACACACACACACACACCAGGAAGCAGCCCGTGACAGCTGACTAACACCCAGGTACCTATTTACTGCTAGGTAACAGGGGCATTTAGGGTGAAAGAAACTTTGCCCATTTGTTTCTGCCTCGTGCGGGAATCGAACCCGCGCCACAGAATTACGAGTCCTGCGCGCTATCCACCAGGCTACGAGGCCCCTGTGTGTGTGTGTGTGAGTGTGTGTGTGTAGAGTATAGTGGTGTGTGTGTGTAGAGTACGCTGCGCGTACTAGTGGCTTTACAAGAGTGTAAATACTAGGCTATGTATTCTCTCTAACCCAATGTACCTTCTTGTATATAAATAAATAAATAAAGTATGGTGGTGTGTGTGTAGAGTATGGTGGTGTGTGTGTGTGTAGAGTATGGTGGTGTGTGTGTGTAGAGTATGGTGGTGTGTGTGTGTGTAGAGTATGGTGGTGTGTGTGTGTAGAGTATGGTGGTGGTGTGTGTGTGTGAAGAGTATAGTGGTGTGTGTGTGTAGAGTATGGTGGTGTGTGTGTGTAGAGTATGGTGGTGTGTGTGTGTAGAGTATGGTGGTGGTGTGTGTGTGTGAAGAGTATTGTGGTGTGTGTGTAGAGTATTATGGTGTGTGTGTGAAGAGTATAGTGGTGTGTGTGTAGAGTATGGTGGTGTGTGTGTGTGTAGAGTATGGTGGTGGTGGTGTGTGTGTAGAGTATGGTGGTGGTGGTGTGTGTGTAGAGTATGGTGGTGTGTGTGTAGAGTATTATGGTGTGTGTGTGAAGAGTATAGTGGTGTGTGTGTAGAGTATGGTGGTGTGTGTGTGTGTAGAGTATGGTGGGGTGTGTGTGTAGAGTATGGTGGTGGTGTGTGCGAAGAGTATAGTGGTGTGTGTGTAGAGTATGGTGGTGTGTGTGTGTGTAGAGTATGGTGGTGGTGTGTGTGTAGAGTATAGTGGTGTGTGTGTAGAGTATGGTGGTGTGTGTGTGTAGAGTATGGTGGTGGTGTGTGTGAAGAGTATAGTGGTGTGTGTGTAGAGTATGGTGGTGTGTGTGTGTGTGTAGAGTATGGTGGTGTGTGTGTAGAGTATAGTGGTGTGTGTGTAGAGTATGGTGGTGTGTGTGTGTGTAGAGTATGGTGGTGTGTGTGTGTGTGTGTGTGTGTAGAGTATGGTGGTGTGTGTGTGTGTAGAGTATGGTGGTGTGTGTGTGTGTGTGTGTGTGTAGAGTATGGTGGTGTGTGTGTAGAGTATGGTGGTGTGTGTGTGTGTAGAGTATGGTGGTGTGTGTGTAGAGTATGGTGGTGTGTGTGTGTGTAGAGTATGGTGGTGTGTGTGTGTGTAGAGTATGATGGTGTGTGTGTAGAGTATGGTGGTGTGTGTGTGTGTAGAGTATGGTGGTGTGTGTGTGTGTGTGTGTGTGTGTGTAGAGTATGGTGGTGTGTGTGTAGAGTATGGTGGTGTGTGTGTGTGTGTGTGTATGTGTGTGTAGAGTATGGTGGTGTGTGTGTAGAGTATGGTAGTGTGTGTGTGTGTAGAGTTCTGATGCTACATTGAAGTTTTTACCGGCTCTATTTGACAGCCACTAGAGAGATAGTGGTCTCGACGGAGACAGGAAGCCGGAGGCTTGTCAAGGGTCTCCTTACTGTTCCGGTATATAATATACAATTTCTCTACCCCACTAAGTATCCATTGTAACAAGTTCCTTTCTATATTTTTATAAATATAATATTATGCATAGTGAATAGAGTCCATAGCCAGATTGTAACCTGAAATTATATACATGTGTACTTTTTATCTTGTATGTTTAGATACATAGTAAAGGTTGATATTATTAAAGTAATCAGCTTTACTGAAATGTGATCTTTTTACAGCACAAACCAGACATGACAGAGCTGATGTTATCGAGACCTTTGGTCAGGTGATCCTCTGCATACAGGGTTGCAGAGGCTCCATGATACCCGCGATAACAGCTTGACGATTAAATGCAACGTCAGAATACTGAAAAGAATTACTGGACAAATTTTTTTACCACTTACGGGCTATTCATGCCCGTGCCACCTCTTGGGTGGCTTAATCTTCATCATCATCTCCATGATATTACGGGCTCACCATAGCCCGTGCTACATGGACACTTCGTTCTGAGTAGCTAAATCTGAAACAACAACAACAGCTCCATGATATTACGGGCTATTCATGCCCGTGCCACCTCTTGGGTGGCTTAATCTTTATCAATCAAATAATCTCCATGATAGAGTAACGACACTGAGCCTCTTCTCTTATTTGTGGTTCTCGTCAATAACGTATAAAGAACTGCTGAGGATCTAAGTCTAAGTTCGGATCTAAGTTCTGCTCTGTGTTGGATTACGAATAACCCCTTAAACTATCACTCAAGAGGGAGGATTAACCAGGGTTGATAGGTAATATGTTTGAAATCGTCACCCAAAATATAATAAGTTCGACAAGCCACACTGGAACGTAAAAGAAAGGCAACAGTTTCAAGCTCAACAGCCACAATGGAGGAAAGACCTGTCTCCTGAAGCTCACATCAAGGGAATAACATCAGCGGCGTATGCGAGGCTGGCTAACATCAGAACTGACTTCAGGAACCTGTGTAAGGAAGCATTCAGAACCTTGTATACCACATATGTAAGACCAATCCTGGAGTATGCGGCCCCAGCATGGAGCCCGTACCTTGTCAAGCACAAGACGAAGCTGGAAAAAGTTCAGAGGTATGCCACTAGACTAGTCCCAGAACTAAGAGGCATGAGTTATGAGGAAAGCCTGCGGGAAATGCACCTTACGACACTGCAGACAGAAGAGTAAGGGGAGACATGATCACTACCTACAAAATTCTCAGAGGAATTGACAGGGTTATCTTGAGGTTATCTTGAGATGATTTCGGGGCTTTTTAGTGTCCCCGCGGCCCGGTCCTCGACCAGGCCTCCACCCCCAGGAAGCAGCCCGTGACAGCTGGCTAACACCCAGGTACCTATTTTACTGCAAGGTAACTGGGGCATAGGGTGAAAGAAACTCTGCCCATTGTTTCTCGCCGGCGCCTGGGATCGAACCCGGGACCACAGGATTACAAGCCCAGCGTGCTGTCCGCTCGGCCGACCGGGTAGATAAAGAAATACTGTTTAACACTGGCGGGACGCGAACAAGGGGACACAGGTGGAAGCTGAGTACCCACATGAGCCACAGAGACGTTAGAACGAACTTTTTCAGTGTCAGAGTAGTTAACAGGTGGAATGCATTAGGCAGTGATGTGGTGGAGGCTGACTCCATACACAGTTTCAAGTGTAGATATGATAGAGCCCAGTAGGCTCAGGAATCTGTACATCAGTTGATTGATAGTTGAGAGGCGGGATCAAAGAGCCAGAGCTCAACCCCCGTAAGCACAACTAGGGGAGTACAACAAACAACAGGTGCTTGTTCACCCATAGGGTCTCGCAATAAAGTGGACTCCTTTCTTGACTCACATTCGAGGGATCCCAAGTTTGATTCCCAGGAGGGACATAAATGGTTGAGCACGCTTCATTTCACCTAATGCACCCGTTCACCTAATATTAAATAGGTACCTTTGCGATATGCAACTGTTGTACTCGGATACAAGAGAGTGTAGGACTGCATCCTGGGGGACCTCGATGCAGTTTTAAACCTACAAGCCTACCCGCTGAAGCCGTAAATGCCAAACCTCTGCTATATTTCAAAATACAGCCCGATAAAGTCATCCGGACAATGGCAGTGGCCCTCAGGTAAATATAAATAATAAATTCCTTGTAACCTACCTTACCCCTCTATTGTTAACCCATGTCTGTTTTTTTTAAACACCGCTGTTTGTCGACCTAGTTGTGTTTGTGCTGCTTTTTCAGTCATGTCTCCCCCTTTCTTATTTTTATTTTTATTTGTTCTCAACACATTTTAAACTTTAAACTCAATTAGTATTAAGTTTTAGTCTTTAAGGTTTTTCCTGCCCGAAACGCTTTACGTAATAGTGACTTTAGGCATTGTATGTACTAGCTCTATCTATAAATCTATCAACTTTGTATCTTACCCTGTATGTATGTACCTTACCTGAATAAAAATTTATTTATTATATTTATTTATTTATAAAGGTCACCCCCATAAAACAACTCTTCCATTTTCAATGACGGTGCTCGTCACAATAACATTGATGCGTTCGAACATATCTTAAATATTCCTTATTTAACTTTCCGTTCACTCTACAAAATATTATTGTGTTAATAAAACAATCTAAATATCATAATATATTTAAAAAAAATGTTTTTGAAGAAAGTTGATTATGGATAAGTCTCGAAAGTGAGGATAATTGAGGAGCTGTGAATGCAGCGGCAGCCGGGGGGAGACGGCAGACCTGAAGACCTCTTACATCTTCTTCCTTCTCCTGCTACGAGACTTCCTGTGGCGTATATCGGCAGGATATTGAAGAAGAGTGAGTGGACTAAGGTGACCAGCTGAAGGCTGTGAGAGTCCTATGTTACACGAGGCGAGGCCGAGGACCTGGTTGCCCCGAACACCGCCTCACATCACTTACATTTTTATATTTTTGTAAAGTCACTAGTACGCGTAGCGTTTCGGGCAGGTCCTTAACCCTAATTTCCCCGGAATACGACCCCGCCGAATCGTTTAACAACCAGGTACCCATTCACTGCTGGGTGAACAGAGGCTACATTTAAGGATTGGTGCCCGGTCAATCCTCCCCGGCCAGGATTTGAACCCAGGCCAAAGCGCTTGCAGAATGCCAAGCGAGTGTCTTACCACTGCACCACGGGGACTGCTAAACTTATTTGGTTTGGTTTAACTTCGAGGGGCTGGGAGGGTTTAGCTTGTCTGTGTTTTGATTACATTACTGTTTGATATGATGAATGGCTGTGGTGTGTGTTTTTCTTTTTATGTCATGGCGTTGCTGGGCCTATTCACAGGCTGCCACTAGGCCTAGTCCTCTAGGCTGTCACTAGGCCTAGAGGTGGAAATGGAGATAAATTATTTTTATGAACACAACATTCACTTACCTCCAATAAACCCACTTGTCTGCTTGATTCTTGTTAAACATTTTGTAAAATATATTAATATATCAGAAAGGATAAAACTTTAATATTATTTTAAAACCATACCCATGTTGTTTGCTGTTGTGTAAATGACTACAGGTACTGTAAATTTTACATACATGTCTGTAAAAGACAATTAAATGTTAATCAGGTGTGTGCTGTTATGAAAAAGTGATATGTTTATTGATCGTCATGTATGCAGAGAATAAGTCACAATAACGGGACTAAAATAAATAACTCGGCTCACATATATAGAATGAAACGAAAGTGACGGTGTTTTGGGGCCGTCGTGGACACTCATCAAGTTGTAACCAGGAAGAGTGGGAGAGGAAGATATTTTTAAGACAAGAGGGAAGGCAAGGTATTAGATATAGCCTAAAAATCTAATGTAAACAGGCTGTTTTAAGACATTTGCTATAAAAACATATCGAGTATGTGCTTTGGCAAAGTCGGTGCACAGAACGCTAGTTTCTGTGCAGACTGGGGCAGCATCAGCAGTGAGCATTGCCTCCTCGGCAGTAATTCAGATATTTTGTTAAGGGAGGAAATTTTATTTCATTTTAAAACTATTTTCTATTTTTGTTTGTTATATTAACTCAAATGATTTTCCAGCTGCTCTTGATAAAGCACCATCCCTCTGATATTGTCCAGTCCTTACTGATTCTCAGAAAAACCTCATTACTATTTTTTTGTGGGGGGGGGGGCATGACATCGAGATTTATGGATCGAATGCTTATTCTTCTAAATACCTGTAAAATTAATAATAATTCATTGTGTTGGGGGACAGGCAGCCAGAGTGTGTTTATACATGTTAGACTTAAATTGAGGTCCCTTCCCTTTCCCCCTAAGGTTGAATTAAACTTTCCCCCCTTCCCCCAGGATGCAACCCTTCAACACTTGTATTTTCACCTGTATTAGTTAATACAGGTAAAAATAAATTTAAATTTGTTATATACTAATTCAGTATATGTATTGATCGCTGTTTAAGCTGATGCTCATTATCCTAACTTAAAATACTTTTAAAGGTTTTGTATGCTAATCATAGAGAAATAAATATATATAATATATAAAAAATACCAATGAATACAGATTACAAAAAGACTTCTAGACTTGTTATTACTGCTTTATGCTAATACTGTACTGCTTGCTATTATTTTTTCTCCGAGCTACTCTCAGGCTGGTGTCTCCCAGCTGTACAGCATTAATGATAGTATGTATGTGTTTTGGGGCTCCAGGGATGTCACTGAGAGGACCCACTAAAAAAAAATTATTACATTCAGTTCTGGAGTTTTTAATTTTGTAATTGCTCCTATACAGTGTATTTTTGTCAAAATTATGCCAAAAATTTTGTGAGTTTATAACAGTGATACTATTTTTTGTCCTGAATGTTCAAGCATTCTTCTGTGATATAGTCTAACTTCATAACTTCCACAGAATGGTGTCAACTAAAATGATTACACTAAAGTTGAGACCAGTCCTCCGTTCTTTATTCACCACGAGTCGGAGTATGTCCAGTTCTTCTGAAACCCTACTCGAGGAGGTAGGCAATAAGGGCGTTATTACACTAAATCGTCCAAAAGCTTTGAATGCCCTGAACGTTAGCATGATTCGACAGATATACCCTAAACTACAAGAGTGGGAGACGACTAAAACCATGGTCATCATTAAAGGTACGAATGAACAAGGTTGTATTTTGTTATGGGTTCATTTGACAGGAGCAATATACTAGCAGTTGTTCTCTCATACACTAAACTAAGTTTCTGTGATGTATATAAGCCTTTTGGACATTATTAATGCACTTAAATAAAAATGGATGAATGTAGAAAACTGAAAGAAATTGTATGAATGTAAAGGGATACAAATTATTTCACTCTTATAGGCACATTGGACGAGGAGGTGGGGTAGCAACATTGCATATATACCTGTACTGGAGAAAATTTTAAATATAGTGTAAAGAGGAAATAAAAACTGAATTGAACACAGTTGAGCTGTTTGGTTAGATTTAAATAATAATAGCCTAATAATAGGAGCTATATGTAGACCACCAAAGCTTGGCAGAATGAAAAGAAGGTGTGTGTGCAGATGATGAGTCACAATAACGTGGCTAAAAAATGTTGACCAAACCAAACACTAGAAATTGGAGAGACGATGACATTTCGGTCTGTCCTGGACCATTATCAGAAACAAGGAAATTATACGTAGAGAGAGAATGAGAAAGCTAAATTTACATTCTCTATAAAAATAAAAAAAAAAGGATGATATGACTGAAATGTGCAAGTAGATGAAAGGGTATAACAAAGAGGATATTAAAAAGGTAGTGAATCAAAAATTAAATGTTACTCCAGATATGTTTTGGACTATAAATACATTTCTTTCGTAATCTATCAGGGTTTTATTGATCTCTGATAATACATTGTAGTTTTTATTCTTCCTCTGATCACTGGTTTTCCTTAAGGTTAAACTTTGTTTTTAAATCTTTTTAGAATTATTGATAATCTTAGTCCATTCAGCATTCTAAGATTCTTGTCATGATGTTGGTTTATCATTGTGAAACTCCCTGATGTTTGTTATAATAATATGATTTGTATCTTGATTTCTGATATTTTTGCAGGCGCTGGAGATAAAGCCTTTTGTGCGGGAGGTGATGTCCGATCCATAGTGGAGACGGTCAATGATGAAAATCCAGTCGGGGAATATTTCTTCCGTGAGGAGTACAAACTCAATTGTCTCATCGGAACACTCCACATACCTTACATAGCTCTCATTGATGGTAAGTTCTCATTGCTTATGAACTGCTGAATAATGTTAGATTGTCATTTTATTTAACTTAATACAGTAATTATAACTGATAATGAAAATATCAGTATCATTGTTATCCTGATTCTGACTTTCATTGAGTGGGGAGACATGAGCCTGAAAAAATATGAGCAGTATAGGAAGAGATTAAAAATTATGTTAATAATGATACTGTAATTTTTTTTAATAAATGCTTATAAAGTACAGTATATTTATGACTTTTAACCTAAACAAATGCAGTCATTAGCTTAACCTCTCAATTATATTTACATTATAAAGACAGGAATGGAATATGTCATTGACTACTGTCATTGTATATAAAAATAGTTTAGAATGTGACAACCTCAAGGATTTTATTCTGATATATAGAAGAGAAGTTAGTGTGAGAAGGTAGGATGCACTGGTACATGGTGAGTGTGCATTCCCAGTCTTCTTCAGCATCTTTGAGAACAGGTAATCTTGTATGACCTTCGTGTATTTGGAGACGAACCATGGTCACATTTCTGTCCTTTGTTTTCACATGGACTGTAAAGTCGAAGAACGTCAAAAACTGAAATAATTTCTTACATCAAAATACTGTCTAAGCTCACTCATCCGAACTACATGGGAAGGACCCCCGCTCACCAGATAAGGCAGACCTCAAGATAAGCAGAATTTTTACCGGGAAAGTCCAAAAATGACCATACTGTGTTTGCAATTTTTTGTACCACAGCCAACAAACGGTGCTGTAATTTGAATTTCCACAAACACTATTAATCAAAAATATATTTTAAAACAGAAATATAATTTAGTGTGTTTAGTTTACCGTGTTGTAGTGTGTCTTCGTATTTGATACTATAGGTCTTGAAATATGTAGTTCTTGAAAATTTACATAATGTAGTCTCTGGTTATCTGGATTTCTGTCTGAATATGGTGAAGTTTTGCCACAAAATTATCCAGACTTGACTTTGACTCTGTGCCAGTCTGCATTTTCTGGCCAAATCTTTGGTTAACCAACTTTCCATCTGGATATCGCGAAGTTTTGCCAACAAATTATCTGGATGCAATTTTGGCTGGATAACCCAAATATTTGGTTCAGCAGGCTTTGGATAACCAAGCTGCCATCAAATATCAAAATGCTGTACTGTACATAATTTATGGATAGTCTCGAGAGATTCAGCATTTGATTGAACATTCATTTGCAAATATTTTAATTTACAATGTTGATGCCTGACATAAGTGTGTCAATCTTTGTTAAAAAATGTAACAAAGATGAAATGAAGAATGGGGGGTCAAATTGACCTCAAACTGCCACTCTGGGTAGGACAAGCTTTCCAAACAATTAGAACATTAGAGCAGCTAAACTTCCTAGCCACAATATTAACCATGAGACATGAACAAATATTTGTGTTGGGAGGAATACTGCATGTCCTGTAAAAGCAACAATTATAGTACTGTATAGGTCAAAATGGCTCATTATGACTTTCAAATTCACCCTCAGATTGGTATATCCCATGCCCATAAATGTAGTAAATAAATAGGTTGAAAGGCAATTTTATTCTTTCATTGAATTGAAAATATATTGCTGCTAAACTCCATTAGCCAATTGATTTCAGTAGCAGCTTGTAGAAAAAATGGCATTAATTTCCAAAACTTACTGGATGGAAACAATTGCAAAGTATGTTGACCAGACCACACACTAGAATGTGAAGGGACGACGACGTTTCGGTCCGTCCTGGACCATTCTCAAGTCCCATTCTTCTTCGACTTGAGAATGGTCCAAGACGGACCGAAACGTCGTCGTCCCTTCACATTCTAGTGTGTGGTCTGGTCAACATACTTTAGCCACGTTATTGTGACTCATTGCCTGCAATTGCAAAGTATATTTTATTTCTGGCTAATTGTAATTCTCACAATGATTGTTGTTTAGGCATCACGATGGGTGGCGGTGTGGGTCTGTCCGTCCATGGTCAGTACCGAGTGGCTACAGAGCGCACGCTGTTTGCCATGCCAGAGACTGGTATTGGGCTCTTCCCCGACGTTGGTGGCTCATATTTCTTGCCTCGACTAGGAGGTCGGCTTGGCATGTACTTGGCTCTTACAGGTAAGAAATTTATCACTGCTGTTCACTTTACTTATGAATTTTGTGGCTGAATTAAGAGCACCTATTAAGCTCAAATGTAAGTTTTCAAGGAAGGTTTATGGAAGATTTGTTGCTAAGTATAGCTTAAACCAGAGTTATTAAATTAATGAATATCTGTTTTTAAGGCTTACAGTAGTAAATACTGTAATCTCTTTTCATTTTCACGTGCAAGAAGTACCTCATCTTCATTCATTTTTACATTTAGTACTATACCTATTCCCTTCAGATTCGCTAGTAGTACTATTTCTTCTTTAATTTACTATTGCAGTGCCATGCCTCTCTTAATGTTTACCTGCAGTAAACTACTCCATCTTGCTCTCTCTCTCTCTCTTTTCTTTTGCTACGTAGTCTTCCTAGCTTGGTGCCTTCTTTTGTTAATTATTTACTCTCTTTTCTCTATGTTTATATCCGATTACATCACTCAGTTTTTCCAGCCATTCCCTTCTAAGTACTCTTATTGAGACCCAAATTTTATGTTTTTCCTGAACACATCCCATAGACCGTTACTTTCTTACCTATCTTTTGCACTGCCGTCTGTCCTTTCTCTCCCCCACATAAGTACGTTGTATCCTGCTACTCAAAAAATGTTCTTAATTTTTGTTTTTCCAAATTTTTATGATTCACATTGTTGGTGAATTGATGATTCACATCTTGGACTTGATCCTCGGGTGGTACAAAATTAGTTGGGCATGTTTATTTTCAGGCTTGATGCCTCTATTCACCTAGGAGTAAATTAAGTACCAGTGAGTTAGGCAACTGTTGTGGGTTACATCCTGGGGAAGGTCAGTAGTTGGCCTTCCTTGAGTTCAGGCTTCCTGTCCCCCCAACAATAGGAATTTAATGAGTGTAGTAACAAAGTAGAGCAGAGCAGTTCTTCCAGCAGTCATGTGGTAAGAAACAACAGCTTGGATGGATCTTTCTGGCTTTGTCATTATTTATAACATGATGGATATACATTTGTCACCGTAATCAGTTTTATGTTGGTGGTATGTGTTTTCCTGAGTTCACATCCTTTTGGTAATGCCTGGTGTTATATCCTTGTTGGTTTTATGTTTATAGTAGTTTATAGTTTATGGTAATTAAGCTATTGCACGTAAAAAATTAAACTTACTGTACATAGGTCTGTAATTTTCCCACTCTTTGTAGGTCATCGGCTTAAGGGGCATGACGTGTTGAAGGCAGGTGTGGCAACCCATGTGTGTGACAGTTCAAGAATTGGTGAATTAGAAGAGTCGTTACTGAAACTTGAGTCACATTACCCGGAGGATATTGCTGCAGTGCTTGATAAATTTAGCCAGGTAAATTGATCCTGTTCTTCAGTAAACTTAAAGAATTCATCATGTTCGTCTGATTTCAGCGTGCATTAAAGACTTTATTTAACTTTGTGGTTATCCTACATACAATAAGTTTACGTTTTTTTTGTACAATAGCTTAAATTAATTACCATAAAATATGAACTTGGTTATTTAGTTTGATGAATCTTATTTGAGAGGATGAAACATGGACAGACCTGGAGTATTACCGCATTGAATACTGTATCTGCAAACACTTGTGGTTTGGTATCTGTGTTGTTGTATGCAACAAATTACCCAGTAACATAATAAACATGGGATTGCTAGGTTGTTTCACACACAAGTTAGACATGAGTTTAGGTGGATACAAGACAGCGACTATTTATATTCATCTAAACTCATGTCTAACTTGTAATAAATATAAATAAATAAATAAATAAATAAATGTTTATTTAGGTAAGGTACATACAAGAGATTTTACAAAGTTTGTTGGGTTAATAGATAGAGCTAGTACATACAATGCCTAAAGCCACTATTACGCAAAGCGTTTCGGGCAGTGTGTGTGAAACAACCTAACAATCCCATGTTTATTATGTTACTGGGTAATTTGTTGCATACAACAACACAGATACCAAACCACGGATACCAAACCACATACTGTATCCGCAAACCATGTTTGCAGATATTCAATGTGGCAATACTCCAGGTTTGTCCATGTTTCATCCTCTCAAATATGACTTATCAAACTAAATAACCAAGTTCATATTTTATGGTAATTAGGCTATTGCACGTAAAAAATTAAACTTACTGTACATAGGTCTGTAATTTTCCTTCATTCATACACTCGTAAAACTTGTTCTGCAATATTTAATTTACAGGAAGCATTGTTCAGCAAGAACGAGCCATTCTCCCTCCAGCCTGTCCTTGCAAAGATCCAGTCCTGCTTTTCTGGAAACAGTGTGGAAGAAATTATCTCCAACCTGGAAAAGGTAGGCTATGAATTAAACTACCTTTTTCCCCATGTTCACTCTTTAAAGACTAGTGTGTGTGCTTTCTTTTATGGAATATTGTTTTGTGGTCATATTTCTCAAGGCACAGAAGATAGATTCCAGCTAGAAATTACAAGGAAAAGCTTCTTTACTGCCTTCACAGACCCAGTTAAGAATGTAAAAAACTAGGAATGTCTCAAACACTCAGTTTGTACTCTTGGGATAGAGACTAAGAGAACAAATTATTATACTGTAATCTACATATGGAGAATACTCATATGCCAGGTTCCAAACCTACACAACAAAACTAAAATAGACTGGAGTGAGAGATATTGTAGGAAAGGTAGAATAAACATTATAAAATGTAACAGTAAGATAAGCTCGGTTCAAAACACAGTATGAGCATCAGACTCATCAGCTTCCTATTAGCAAATGTATAAGAAATACAGAATTGCCAGAGCAAATGTTTAAGCCTTCAGAGGATCCTGATAAGTTCCTGGAGGAAGCACAGGATCAGCTGGGTTGTGATTGCCATGTGGGCTGCTAACACTAATAGCCTCACTAACCAGATAATCATCAGAGGGCTGTGCAAGGAGAACCCCACTAGTATTGAGAATCCCACTCAATACTAGTTCCAGGTAAATGAAAGGTTAACTACTCCAGCCTTGCCTGGCTTTGAGGCTTGAGTAAATTTAACAACAATTTTGATACAAGCATCAGTACCCTGATGGAGGTGGAGGCCTGGTCGCGGGGACACTAAAGCCCCTGTCGCGGGGACACTAAAGCCCCGAAATCATCTCAAGATAACCTCAAGATAACCCTCATAGCTTGTGAGGATAATCAAATGAGATATAAAATCCAAAGTTAATTAATCCATTGTACATAGGAAATTTTGTGATGTGTGATTTTTGTTAAGGATTTCTGACCCTGGGTAATCCTTGTGTGGGGACTACATTCTCATTAGGAGGTTTAGCGGTAGTGTCTTGGACTGGTGGATAAAGCGACAACCTTGTAACTTACAGAGTTGGCATTATATCACCGATGGCTAGGCACCATCTGTCCCCGCAGCCCTGTCCTCGACTGGGCCGCGGAGACGCTAAGTCCTGAAATCATCTCAAGATAACCATTCCTTCACTCATCTTCATATCTCAGCTCCTTGTCTTTGTTTACCTTTCAAGTGCTATATAGTCACACTGGCTTAGTGTCATAACTTAAATGTTACATATTTAGCTAGCAGAATCTTTTGAATCCTCCATATGGGAGTGATTAAATTACATTATACTGCCAGAGGTGCATCTGGGCAGCAAGATACAGGTACAAGGAAATTACCAGAGGTAGGAGGAAATTTGATGTGACTGATTAATATTGATTATATCTTCCATTAACTATTTACTTATGTATTTGATGGTTACAAGATATACATGGGTTGATACAAAAATAATACAAAAGTGCTTAAAGGTTATGGATCTCTTGAAAAACACGACAATGGGAAACAGTGATGAATGTCACAGACAGGTTCAATCATTGTTGCAAGTCAAACACTTCTTCGAATTCCTCTGAAGTTGGACTAGTGCTCAAGACGCAACAGGCATTCCCCCTCTGAATCGCAACACTGAGGCACAGGAACAAGAAACTTTTTGCTCTCTGATCTTTTGTAGCGCTGATCAATTTGTCCCCCAATTCCTTCAGGAACTTCAATGCGCATTTTCCCCACGAACCGAGGGTCTCCGAGCCAATCGGAACCAAGCTGTAGCAGTGTGCGAGACCTCTGTATTTAATAATTTTCTGTGATTCCCTGAAAGAAGCAGCACCACTGCTTTCACTTGTGCTGTAGTGGAGGTAGGTACTGGCCAGTGTGGCAGCGCACGTGTTTACTTATTATATTTTATGTATAATATATCAATCTACACCTCTACTTTCTCCTCAAACATACTGTTTGGCTTGTGACACACACATGAAATATAATAAAAGCTTACAGAAGCTCAAATACATTTTAACACTTTCGCCCGGGCATGACGCAGCATTGCGTCATCCGTTTACTGGCGGTAATGCCGGGGATGACGCAGCATTGCGTCATCCACTTTAAAAATTCGCCAAAAATCAGGTTTTTATCCGATTTTTGGGGGACTGGTTTTAAAATGCGCGCCGATGTCTTCCCATTTTCTTTGTTGCGCCTAGTGGCCCGCAGGCGGCGCAGCACATGCCGTCGGCCCATTGTTTTCGCTCCACTGTTGTGACCGGTGTCGCCTCCCCTCGCGTCTCAAACGTGTGAACATTTCGGCTATTTTCCGTGGCTATATTTCTTACTGCGGCTTCAGAAACTATCTATGCTTACTCCACAATGGATAGTGATCATGAACAAGGCCCTTCCAGGAAGAAAATTGCGAAAGAAAGGCGTGAAAAACAGAAGCTGAGTAGTGCACAGGAGAAGTACAAGCATGTGAGACTAACTCCCTCTAAGTTTCAGGCTGTATTTGACGATTTGTCTGGGTCATCTAGTGATGAAACTGATGTTGGTATTGATACTGATGCAAGTAGTGAACATTTAGAAACAGAGACGGCCGATGAGGATTTTGATAGTGATGAAAGTGAGGACAGTGAGGAGTCTGAGGTCGAGATTGCCACTCGTGCACGGTGCTGTACTGGAGCTCGTGCCAGAGCCAGACGTACCACACGTACCCCAGCACCAACAGATTCTGATGATGGATGGTGTAGTGACAATACTGCACCCTTTGTGGACAATTTTACAGGTACACCAGGCTTGACTGTTCCTGTACCTACCACTGTTCTTGGATTCATTCAACTCTTTCTGACACAAAAATTGCTGAAATATATTGCCTATGAAACAAATTTATATGCTTCCCAAAATAAGGCAGGTACTGGGCAAAGTACAAAGCACAGATGGCAACCAGTGACAGTGAAGGAAATTGCTAGATATATGGGACTGACGATTTTGATGGGTATTTGCCCGTTTCCCGTATTGTACAGGCAATGTTGTTCTTCAATTGGCCCTTATATGCACATATCCATCTGAAGAATTCTATTAGCAACATTTTCATACCTAAATGAGCGCTGTAACACAAAAATTGAGATTACCACCAGGAAATAATACTAAACATATGTGGGCAGGAATTGGGAGTGTAGCAGGAAGGCGTCTGAGCGCTCACTCATGGCTAACGCGTGGCCCGTCTTCAACTCGTCGGCGGTTGGAGCGTGACCAGGTTTTTTATTTTATATGCTAATATTCCTCTAGAGAATTCTATTACGAATCCATTGAGACCAAAATGAAAGACCTAGGACGAAAATTGAGGTGACTAGAGTGAAAATAGTGAAAACATTTTATCGCGTTTGCGCGCTCCCGGGTAACTCGTTCGCACTTTCTCTGCTTGCTGCGGGTAATTAGCCGGGCTTTTGGAGTTTATATGCATTTAGTGCTGTAGAGAATTTTATTGCAAACACAATGATACCAAATTTAATCTCGTAGAACGAAAATTGAGGTGACAAAGTTGAAGAGAGTATACACTTTTCGGAATTGACGCGCCCTTCCGTGACACACTGGGGCCCATATCGCCCTGTCGAGGGGTGGCGCGGGGGGTGCGCGAAAGTGTTAAGATGTATTTTTCATTAAATAGTAAATGAACAATTACTTAAGTATCTTCTTTTCCAATATACTTTCAAAGGGTTTCTTCAACTGTGCCTAGCTACACTTGCCAGGTTGCTCATGAAGCACATTCCTAATCCAATTGGATCATACCGGTCCACCCCGGATCATGCCGGTCCACCCCGGATCATACCGGTCCACCCCGGATCATGCCGGTCCACCCCGGATCATACCGGTCCACCCCGGATCATGCCGGTCCACCCCGGATCATACCGGTCCACCCCGGATCATACCGGTCCACCCCGGATCATGCCGGTCCACCCCGGATCATACCGGTCCACCCCGGATCATACTGGTCCACACTGATCCATAACCAGTCACTTCCTCACCTTGGATTTAACCTGATGCTATGGTTAACTTCCCAGACTGGCATAAAAGCCTTGACCTCTGGTAATTTCCTTGTAACAGTTACTCACTGTCCAGTTGAACATCTTGTAACATACTGTAATCTAGTCACTCATTCTTACTGTTCCACTTGGACGACTTAGAAGATTCTGCTAAATATATAATATTTAGGTTATGGCATTTGTGCTTTCTCCTGGTAATTACCTTACCATAGAGGTGGCATGAAGAATATTAACGTTAAAATATTTCAGATACTAGAGAATAATAGAGTAATTTTATTGTTTGTGGATGGCATACTGGAGTTTAATTAATGTTTTTTTGACAGGACAGATCTGAGTGGGCACAGAAGCATTTGTCAATCCTGCACAAAATGTCTCCCACGTCACTCAAGGTCACCTTTGAGCAAATAGAGCGTGGTGGGCACCTAACTTTTCAGGAATGCCTCGCAATGGAGCATCGAATTGTTAGTCGGATTTACAAGGGTCACGACTTTAAAGAAGGTCAGTTTGTGTTGCAACTCTTGATTTTGTTGGTTTATTTTGTTGGAACTGCTTTTGTTACAATCGGTTTTTCTGTGGTGAGCCTGGAAAACCCCTTGTGGTTGGGAGGTTTTCCTTATCTGTCATCGACCGGGGCTAGGCATCCAGAAAGATAGGCATAACAAAACAAACCCCCACATGGTAAGAAAATTACAACGAAAACCGAAAAGAGAGGCAGAACTCCCTACAATCCCAAGCAAACATCGCACTCCACCGCCGCACCGCTTGTCCCCGCAGCCTTCTCCTCCTCGGACGTCTTCTTTGGCCTTGAATTCCAAAGCCGTGTTTTGCTTTAATGGCGACCTCTGCGGTGTTGTTGTGTGTGGTGGCCAGGTGTCCTCAAGAGTACCTGGGCTGCGTGTGCTTAGGGACATTCTTCCCTAGGCGCCCTGTGAGTACTGCCCTTGTGTGTTATGGTCCTTTTGCCTGGTGTGCTCGGGAACCATTTCTGTGGGCGTTTTTATTGCTCGGCATTTACGCCACCCTTGGGCCAGTTGGGGTTTCGTGGCCCTGGTTTGGCCTAGGGTAGGGAGTGGTATCGTGCTGGTTGGGGCATCAAGGTGTTCTGCAGCCTGCCTACCTACGCAGTGGCTGGTTTCTGTTTCCTCTGGGTACGTTGTACTTTTGCGTTTTTTTTTTTGTTTTTTTTTCTTGCCTGGTGTGGCTATAGTTCCACTTATAATATTTTGGTGGCCCCTCTGCTAGGCCCCCCATGATTGTACATGTCACAGGGGTTCCAGTGTTTTGATCTCCCCTTTTGTTAGCTTTGGGTCTTAACCTGTTAGCATCACCTTGCCCGGGCTTCCCGTAGCAGTTAGCCTACGGGTCCTGGAAAAGCCTGTCAGGGCTCGGTGGACCTATGGATGCGTCTTCCAAGTTCCAGCCCACCTCGTGCGGGTTCAAAGGTTGCTGTGTGCCCTTGTCTCAGAGTGACAGTCACCTCTTTTGCCTCTGTCATGCTACCTGTTGGGTCAACAACACCTTTGACCCGGAATCTTGCGAGTCGTGTTCTTTGCTTGTTCTCCAGTATTATTCTGATGACATTACTGTTAGGGGTACAGGCAGCATCCTCGTTGCATGCCAGGTTTATGATGCTGCAACACGCTAGGTTGGTTTCCCACCCGGATGCCCCGTATTTGGTTATAGGGACCCGGACCTGGGGGCATTAATCTCTTCAAATTTGGTTCAGTCCGTGCTCCCTGGTCCTTCCCCTGTTGTTCATCCTGCACTAACCAACCCCCTCCCCCCCCCCCCTTCTGCTTCTGACTCCCAAACGTCTGAGGGCTTCGGAGTCGGGGCAGGGTTTAGTTGGTAATGAGATTTGGGTGCTGCCCTGTTCGGGTTGGGGACAGAGGGACAGAGACATTCGAGCTGGTTCGTCCTACCAAGGCTTCTGGGTCCCACTAGCAGGCTCCTTTCTTTTCAGTCTTTTCCCTGGACTCTGCCTTTTCTTCAGGGGTAGAGGGTGTGGAGGCCTGCTCTGCCCCGGGTCCCGATTTGGGGGATCCCGGGGCTGAGGAGTCGACCTAAGGCCCCCCTTTGACCCTGCTTGGGTGGTGGTGCCCTCTTAGCGGGGCTTGTTGTTGCAGGCGGAGGGGAAAACGCCTGCAATTCCTACAACTCAGGAGTTGCAGGCGTGTATCTTTGGCCAGTTGCAACGCCTGCAACTCGGCTGTCAGGTGCCCGGGAAGGGCACCTGACAGCTGAGTTGACAGCACTTTGGATTTGTAGTTCTGAGGTTCCAGGTTCGATCCCCGGTGGAGGCAGAAACAAATGGGCAAAAGTTTCTTTCACCCTGATACCCCTGTTACCTAGCAGTAAATAGGTACCTGAGAGTTAGACAGCTGCTACGGGCTGCTTCCTGGGGGTGTGTAACAAAAAGAATGCCTGGTTGAGGACCGGGTTCCTCGGCCCCGTCCTTCCAGAGGTTTTCTGCCTCTTGTATTTCCCCTAAGGAGGTTCGGGAGCCTCTTGCTTGCATACCTCTTGCAAGACCCGGATTCCGCCTCCGTGATGAGTTTGGTTCTTCTTTCTTGTATTGGGTGCATTTGGAGGTTATGGAGTCTTCCTGGCTGGCAGACTGCCCATTCTTTTCGCTGGCGACGTGGCATGGGTTCTGTCAGACCCGCACGCTTGAGTGGCGTGAAACCTCTACCGTTCTGCAGGTTTATCTGGGGGCGAGTTTGAGCACCTTAATGCATGCTTGTTCGCCCCTGTGCTTTCTCAGGATGTTGGCCCTGTGCAGCTGCATGTGCAGGTTCCTACCCTTTCAGCATCCTGGTTGCTGAGGATTTGCAAGCCCATGGGTATTTGGCTTCTATCTTGCTCTTCTTTTTCCTTCTTGAGCTGAAGGAACATCTTCCCTTCTGGACTTTTTTTTTTTTCTTCTTACCATTCTTATATTTAACCTCTTTCTCTACTTTTCATAACACAAATTTTGTACATTACTGTGCAACTCTTCTAATTTCAGCTGTCTCTCTCTTTTCTTTTTGTCACTTATATCCAGTGAGATGAATACCATGGTCGCTTACCAGAAAACATGGGCACAACAAAACAAGGGACTGTTTTGGCCCTCTGGAAATTAGGCACCACCAGATGGTCCTCTGAGCCAGAAACCAAATGGTCCTCACTGGACTCAATTTACTCTCAAGGCTCTCGATGGCTCCTCTTACCACTTCCAAGTTTGCATTTGGTTTTGCCACATACATGGAACAAGGGAGACTGGAGTGTAACTCATTCCATTTCTGAATGACCACTTTCTATGTGAGTCATAAAATAATTAACTTCAAGCTATGATTGCTTCCCGATGGCAACACTAGCCAGTACAAGTGACAGGATGCAGGAAGCTTTTACTTGTAGCTGGGCAAACCTCCTTTTTGTCTTTTTTTTTTTAAACTGATTAAAGTAAAGGGTCAGCTTTTTACTCGAAACGTGTGTCCCTTGTGTGGGGCGTGCTGCTTCTCCCAGTTGACTCTGGATGGCTCCAGTCATGTTTTTGCTCTTGTGCAGGGTAGCTGGGGTCAGTGTAGGGGATTGGCCACTCTTCTTGTTTGGATCCTCACGGGGCTGATCACAGCAATTGCACTCAAAAATCTTGTTCACCTGATTCCAGTTTCTTAGGGTAGGCTGGTTTGGATGTCCTAATGATGCTTTTGGTTATTATCTCTGGTGATGATTTCCAGCATGTTTTAACATTTTCTTCTCTCTTCCACATTCTCCTTGAAGGGATATTTTCTGCTCACCTGAAAGGAGTTTCTTGGTCTGGTGGTTTTGTTTCTCCATCAGGCCTTGAGCATCTTGTTATCTTGGCCAGCTGGTGCGCTCTGCTCAAAACACTACTGGTGCTTTCCCTAGTGTGTGTTAGGCTGTGTATCTTTGGCCAAAGAAAAGAACCTTGGGGTACAGATGGTAATTTCCTGCTTCATACTGTGACATTTGTTTCATGGGTGACTGTGTTGTGTTGAGCCATTGCCTTGATTGTCATCTGTTATAAATTTTTACAAAGTAATTAACCAGTATCTTTCTTTTGCAGGTGTGCGTGCATTACTAATTGACAAGGATCTAAAGACCACTTGGAATCCTGCTACCATAGAGGAAGTGCCAACAGAGGAGACCATTAAATATTACTTCTCTCCTCTAGAACCAGAAAAAGAGCTTTTGTTTTAGTGGTAATATCCCCCACTCATGGACTCGGTGCTCGTCACACATTGTCCAGACAGGGTTACTTATCACTCGTCTTGGATCTTACAGCATCGGCTGCTGTAATCTTTCCACCTTAGTCTCACAGATAGAAACCAGGGTAATGATGCAGTACTATATAATTCCCGTTTCCACAAACCAGTTTGCCATATATGCTTAGGTAACATTCAATCAAATAGGATCTATGTTATAGCATTGATTCAGTGTAGTATCAATGTTGTTTTCCCAATTTGCATTGGAAGGGGAAAGTGGGGGGGGGGTTGCCCTCGTTTCTACCTAAGCTCGTGCAAAACTAATAGATTATGCTAGTGATCAACATCAAATTTTTCCATTTGTATTTAAAGACGAAGTTTAATTTTGCTCAATAGCGTTAGCCAGTATCCTACCTTGGCAGGTTTAATACACTTTTAGTTTCGTTTTAGTGCTGTTGGAATTAAGGGTAGTGTACAAGTTTGTTGATTTGTTGTAATTTCTAATTATTATATATTACGTAGCAATTTTAAATGGCGGCTTTGTGTGGTTTTTGAGTGCATGTTTGTTTATTCATTTGTTTTAGACTTAACAAATTAATGGAGGTTGAAATTTCTTTTTTAATGTGGCAGCTTTTTCAGTCAGTTATTGTTAAGAAATATGGCACAAACTGAGCTTCAGCCACAAATCCAACATGATTCCACTCTAGCTACCGGTGTGGGTTAAAGATTTCCTAAGGCTTTTTTTTTATAATTATAGATGCAGTTAAACACACAGAGATCACACTAACGTGATGCATCAAATGAGTAGAACTTCGGTTTCAACCCTTTTACCCTGTCGTAGCTCAGTCGATTAAGGCAGTGTCTGGGATGCTCCCGGACGCAGTTTCAAATCCTCGTCACGGCCCTTGTGGATTTGTTCATGCAGTTAAAGTGTAAATATTTGTGTTATCTTGCTGTAGGACTTCTTTCATATGATTCCTTTGAGTCATACATCCCCCAATAAAATCCTCGACGAATCTGATTCCTTTGACACCACTCATCTTATGTATATTTTCTTCCATAATGCAAGCCGAGTGATATCTAGGAATTTTTAAATTTTCCAGTGATGTAGATGGAATTGCACGATCTTCCCGGCTTGGTGCCTTGTTTTGATTATTATTTACTTGCTATAAGCTCAAGTGTAAGTTCATGTTTAGGTAGAAATGGAACAAGGCTGTTAAGTGAACATGTTGATGTTTCTGAAATTTATTAAGAGTGCTGGTTGAGAATTACTTTTTATAATGACAGAATCATTTATTAGTGAAGTAATGCATTCTCTTGTATGTCAACTGCATATCCTGTTTATTAGAAAATTCTCTCTGAGGTTAATATCATAAGGATGGAACCCTGTGAACACAAGATTAAATATATAACTATATTTTGAAAGATGTTTTTGATAAGCTTAAATTTTCAAGAAATGTCATTCATAAAGTCCCTCTGTAGGGTTGGTGCCATAAGTAATTCTCTAATAGGAAGATAATTCAATATTTCAAGATAAATGGGTGTAATTTTGTGAAACTTTTGTATACTGCTCCCGGATCTTCTCCAGGCTGATGCCATAGAAATAGCCTAAGCTACTCTATCCTTTTTGAGATGTATTTTATTGTCTCAATAAACATACTTGAACTTCCATCTCATGAAATTGGGTTAATAATGATAAAAACCATTGAGACTGCGTATATAATTTCTGTTGTCAAGGACAGAAAGCCTGCATTAAGGCTTAATGAGGTCTTCTGAAGGCAACTACTGACCTTTCACAAAAAACAGATTGAAATGGTAATTTGGTAAAGAGTATGTAGCTCTTAAAAGTATTTTCAGTGGTTCTAGGAATTTTCCATTGTTGATGGGCATGGCTACATACAGAATCTTTCCCCAAACATCCCAGATGCTTTCAGGCATTACAAAGACTTGAAGGAACATGTGGAACAGTAGTCAAAGAATCCTTTATGCTGGTTACTATATTTATCTCTAGCTTTCTGTAAACATTTTCAGATGTCCCTTGTATTAAACAATTAAAATATTCTTTTAACTGTGCTGTTTTATGATAAGAACAGGGGTAAATAAATAGAGATGACAATTTGTGGTTCCTGCTAGCAAGCTGAGAGCTTTTCCTTCACATAGTTCATGTTAAGCCGTGCCCACTAGTTTTTCCTGGAACATGACCTGCCAATCGGGTAACAACCAGGTCCCTAATTAAGTTGTTGGTCGAGGGGCGATGACGATCGAGGGATCAGATGCTCCTGTCCCTAATTATTGTTGGGTGAACAGAAGCAAACAGTTATGGCTTGGTACCCAGTCAGTTTTATCTGACCAGAACTTGAACCTAGATGACAGCACTCATGGGGTAGGGAGGGGAGGGGCAAGTCCGCAACCACTTTGCACCAGGCTCTTGCCCATTTACAAAATTGTGTTCAGAACAAATTTTGGTACCACCAGCTACTTGCAGCAAAAATTGCCTATGTATGCTGTCATGCAAGAATTACTGTATGAGTATTTTAAATCAAATATATTCTTTAATATAAAAAAAATTGTGTACTGTAATATTAACAAAACAAATCCTTCTAGATGATTGGAGATTTGCTCTCACAAATGTCCCTTCGAGCTGCTTGTTCTTTGATAAAATCCTTGGTGATTCCGATACTTTAACATCCCTCATCTTATGTTCTTTGCTCTTGTACTGGCATCCTAAATGATATCGTAGAATTTATTTGTTTTTTGTGACAGCTTTAAATAGCCTTCTAAGCTTGAAACCCTCTTTTGGTAATTAAAAGTTATATCTGTTAATAAAAAGAAAATACCACTCATCTGCTTACTGTCAGAACTGCAGTGTTCTATTAACAACTTCTCATGATGCAGAAATTCTTTATTTTTTTTAGGTTGTTCAGAATTTGTGCTTTCCCATTGTTCCTTCAAGTTATACGTCTCGCAAAATATCTTCGGTGATTCTGATACCTTTGACATAGCTCGTCTTTTGTCTCTGTCCACATGCTGAACAATGTCTAGGAACTTCTAGACATGTTCTACTTCTAGACATTCTAGACTTCAATGTCTAGGACTATTGTGTGACAGACAGTGCTATAGACTCCTAAACTTGATGCCTTCTGTGTATATTATCCCAAATAAACAAGTATTACACACTTCACTTCAAATTTTCCCATAAAGTGTGAAAATATGAAGATGAGAAGTGAACCCATAAAGGATTCAGTACTGGTATTGGTGAAGGTTGTACTCTTAATTACGTAAACATAAGCTTAACAATTGTATATCTATACCTATAAGTGAGAATGTCTGTGTGTGTGTGTGTTCAGAGTTGGAGGCCAGATGCCCTGGGGGCTAGCCTCAGCCAAATTGGCAAAGAAAACAAACATAGAATGGTTGGGGTCAGAGCCGTCATACCGCGTGGGCCCGATGGCCACTTGCCCGGGGCCCCAAGAGCACAGGACATGTTCATTATGGAAACAGAATGTTTAAATATTTTGGTCTTGTTGCAAGTACACTTTTTTTTGTTTTTTGTTTTTTTAAATATATACAAGAGTTGTTACATTCTTGTACAGCCACTAGTACGCGTAGCGTTTCGGGCAGGTCCCTGGAATACGATCCCCGCCGCGAAGAATCGTTTTTTCATCCAAGTACACATTTTACTGTTGCGTTAAACAGAGGCTACAGTTAAGGAATTGCGCCCAGTAAATCCTCCCCGGCCAGGATACGAACCCATGACATAGCGCTCGCGGAACGCCAGGCGAGTGTCTTACCACTACACCACGGAGACTGCTTAAATACTTATATAATATAACCCTAAATCCTGGTGTGGGACTAAATACTATATATTTAAGATATTATGTTATCAGATGAATAACCCTTTCAGCAGAAATGAAATGAAACGTAATGTTTTGAGTGGAGCGCAGAAGAGGAGGAGAAAATAGGAAAACTTCCAAATTAACATCGTGGTTCAACACAGGTGCATAACAGGACAGAAAACCACACAAACGCTGCCAGCCGTGTCTGGCACTTATATACGAACAATCCTAATCCTACTACTGTACAAAAAATAGCACCACAATACAATAAGCCCACTGCCCTAGTAACTGTACCATATGGGGTGTCCCTCCAATTGAACTAACAGGTAGGGAGGAGGTCCACACAGCATCATTGCTCAATAGACAAGTGAGCAACCAGGACCGGCTGCTCTTGTGTTTACACTGTTGACCTCCAGCATTTCTAATGTTTTTCTGATTACCCATCTATTTCTTTCTCATTTCTTATTTTGTATAAAACTAGTTTTCCACATTTAACACACATTTTCATCATGTTTTCTGATCACAAAATGTACACATGAAATAGTCTCTTTTTAACAATAATAAGTACTTGTTTACATTTTCTTAGAAAATGTCATTCCCTCACTGTGATTATAGACTAACTTTGCAAATGTGCTATTGGCTGCACTGGCGGGAGATTTGAAAGGTGGCTTTCCTGCAAAGTCCCTTCCTTACAACAGACAAGACAGACCTGGGCAATGCTTGTTAACCCCCCCTCTAGTATATAACAGAGGGGGAAGGGGTACCTGGAATTACCAGGATCTGTCTCCCATATGTCCATTTCTTTGTCTTCATCACTGTAATTAATCTTCCCACCCAGTAACTCATGAAAGTTTGTGGTAAACTCTACATTTCTCACATCCATGATTTAATTTCAAGATTTAATTTCAGATTTCATGAAAATTGCACATGGGGGGTAGGGTGTCATACTTATTAGAGCATTTAATTTAATCCTACTCCGTCCAGCCTATGTCAATCCTGTACCTTAGACCATTGCCTTTGCAAATTTGAATGAGACCAGCCCCGAGCATCTGGCCTCCAACTTTGGACAGACAGACATTCTCTTGATGTACAGTACAGTATAGATATATATGTAATCAATTGTGCAGTTGAAATTAAACATATTTCAGTTGCACAGTTGATGCATTTTGCCTCGTATTCTGCCACAAAAAGACAGCACGGTTGTAAAGACAATTGTTGGGTTACTATTATAAAGGTCGTTATTGTAACTATAAAGTACACTTTAAAGTTTGTTGATGTAAAGCTGTGTGGAGTTAGCACTGAAAGGTCTCAACCGTATACAAGGAGGCAAATGCTTTTAATAAATATTTTTCTACATTAAATGAATACTTTTATTTTACCCACTATAACAATTGGTGATATAAAACACAGCATATTTTTTCAAGTTGCCTTCATGAAGGCTTCCAATTAATAATAGTCATTCTGGTTCAGAGAGACTATGCTGGCGTTCAGGAATATATTTTTAAGTTTAGGTTACATTACACATACAGTATGTAGTATGTGTATGTGTGTGTGTATTCACCTAGTTGTGCTTGCGGGGGTTGAGCAAGCACCTCGCCGACAGTCAATCAACTGTTACTAACTACTAATTAAATAAGTGTGTGTGTGTGTGTGTATAATTACCGGGGGTAGCTGAAGGTTTGAAACCCTCGTTGAACTAAGCTTTGTGTACCTAAGCGTGCGAAGACCGGAGCCGGCGGACGGCGCGGAGGAAACCACCAGAATGGCTCAGCGGGCAGGAAGGCGGACCAGCAAAGTGTTGTGGAGCGCCACTAAGGCACAGTGAGACACACAGGACACTGCTGGCCAGCCACGGCATCCTAACCTACCTCCTGCCGTCTCGACTTGACCTGCCGCTGGACTCAGGTAGGTCGGGACAAGAGAGCGAGGCTGACAATTTGCCCAACTCTCCCTCACTTTAACCTACATTATAGTATATGTCTTCAATCACTTATTAACAATAGATAAAATATTCACACTGTGAATTACTGAATGAGTTGCAGATGAAAAGTCACAATAACGTGGCAGCAAAATGTTGACCAAACCACACACTAGACACTGAAGAGACGACGACGTTTCGGTCCGTCTTGGACCATTATCAAGTCGATTGTGATGAGACGATGATGATGAAGGTTAAGCCACCCAAGAGGTGGCACGGGCATGAATAGCCCGTAAAGTGATGAGACGAGATTGATTGATTGATAAAGATTAAGCCACCCAAGAGATGGCACGGGCATGAATAGCCCGTAAAGTGATGAGACGAGATTGATTGAATGATGAAGATTAAGCCACCCAAAAGGTGGCACGGGCATGAATAGCCCGTAAGTGGCGGCCCTTTTAAGCCATTACCAGTATCAAAAGCTGATACTGGAGATCTGTGGAGGTGCGACTGCACCCTGCGTGACGGGAGATGTCTCCCGTGATGAGATGAGGTTGTTATAGATTCAGCTACTCGGAACAAGTTCCAAGTAGCACGGGCTATGGTGAGCCCGTAACTTACCTGGCACAGGAGCGGGACAAGAAGCACGGGCTATGGTTAGCCTCGTGGAC